CTTAGTCACAAGGCCAAAATCGCTGTAACAGATTCATGTGCTCATGGCTATGAATACCACTATGGCAAGTGACCAGAGACTCATAAAAGGAAAAGGCTTGGCTCAAAGAGCCATTTCCAAAGTCTAAAGGAGGGGCTGCTAACTCAAAAGCCTAGAGGGCCTGACAGTTGTATGAGTGAGTAGGATCAGCATCACATGGAGTGGCACAGAAAAGGACTTCTTGGAGTGATACACTCTCTATAATGTGATAATTTAACTTTATGACAGACTGCTCTGTCTAAACTAACCACATCTGTTGGCCACATCCATCCTCTATGCTGCCAGTTGGCATCTGGTAGTCTGGGTAGGAAAAAAAATCCTGTTTCTGGAAGCAAACTATGAAGTTGGCTATATTCTTCAACCAGTACCTGTCAGGATAAGCATAAACCTTTTACTTTTTAAAGAGAAAGCTCTAAGCAGCAGCAAAGGCATGGAAGCTAAAAAGAGAAACAGGTACAAAGAGTGTGATGTCAGGATTTGTTGTCTGCGCAGAAGTTGAGGCAGTGGCTCTCACACAGGATGGAGTGCTGAGCTGCCACTTTAAAAGATGCCCGATACCCTGCAAAAGCAGTGCCACTCAACTCACAACAGGCACTGGGGTTCTCACTATGCAGCTGACCCTGAGAGGCAAACTCCCTTGGATCTTCCACCTATTTCAGGTCCCTGCCGTTTTCCTTTGAATATTTCTGACCTCAGTGTGTGACACTTAACAGTTCTGTAGTAGCAACCAAAGTAGTATTTCAATATTTGTCAATGTCTGCCTGGAGAATATGAGTAAATCAGATATATTGGCTTAAATCAAATAAATGTAAATAATAATAATAATGGCATCAAACAGATATTGAGCAATTACCATGTGCCAGATACTATGAAAGATCATTTACAATAATTACCTCACTTAAAGACACCAATATTCCCATTTTTCATTTGAGGAAACTGAGACATAGAAGGTTACTTTCCCATGGTTACCCCTGATAAATGATAGCTGATAAACCAGGATTCATATGGGGGCAGTGTGACTGAATGTGAATTGGTTCTCATAAACAGACCGATTGTAATTTCCAAATAATAGAAATCCTTTGATGATCATAAAATTCGATCATTGTTGAGTTTTTAAAGGTGTATTGGCTGCCTATTGTTTATGAGGTACAAGCTAACGCATAAAGGAACAAAAGAACCATGTAGGAAGGCCATTATTGCCAAGGCATTAAATATAAATTTGGAATGTTGCTCATAGCATATATTCCAGAAATGTTAAAGAGGCTTTGGGGGAAAGTATGCCCAGGTGGTATATTTATGAGAGTGACATATGATGGTGTTGGGGAAGTCCAAGTTATCATTCTGACACCAATGAGGGATGCACCTTTACATTCTCATACCAAACTCAGTGCTTTTGAAATCGGAGAGGGGTGTCCATTATGAGTTCATGTACAGATATTCTTCAAATTCTGCTTAAAAGTTAAGAGCAATAGCAGTAACTAGAACATTCTACTATTACTGCACAGCAAGGTATTTAGCTATTGGCCCTAAATTAGTCTGTATTCTTTTGTCATTTAGTCTGCAGCATTTTAATTCCAGTGACATAAAACATTTCATTCCATGAAGGCCAGAGAGGCACAAAAGAATTCAGTGAAAGCTGAGTGGTTGGTTAAAAAGATGAGTCTATATTCCTCTCCACTCACTAGCTAATTCCAAGTGGAGATGGACATAGAATGTCCCTTTTGTGGGTTTGCTTTCCTTAATCCCCCTAGATGAAGTTAGCTTCCATGTGCCCCAGCTTTCACATGCTCCCAAGGAGATCTATAGTTTCTTCCAAGTTAAAAGTTAATTTTTTGTTAATCAATTAGCTTAATTGTAATTTGCTTATACTGTTCACCTTTTCCAGTCCATAATCACAGTTTAATATTATTGGCTACTTATCCCAAACAGCATTGGTCTTGTTGCTTTATATGCATCACCAGTGAAACCACAGTCACAGTGCACATCTTAATTTCCATGTTTTTTATAGTTGAGAAAAGTAGACACAGAGCAGTCATGAAAAATACCAAATCACAGCCATTAAAGGACAAGCCAAATTCTGAACTAAGTAAAATGGTTCTGGAGTTTGTACTTTACTACTGCATGATACTGTTTCTCTATGAACTCCATGACATCATCTGGCCGAGTGCTCACTGAATCTTAGAAACTTAAACCCTTATGAACAAGCAAATGAATGGATGTAGGGAGCAAGTAAATTATCAACTAGTTCTTACCTCACTGTCACACCTTACCCAGAAGGTTGCTTGCATGCTGTTATATCAGAAAACACTTAACCTGAATTTTGACTGGTGGATGGACTGATCCAAGAATTTGCAAAAGCAAAACTGAGCCTTTGTGAGGTTCTCCATCACTCCCACCATGCGGGAGGGAGGGAAGCCATTGGAAAAGGTGATTTTTCCTTTATGACTCCAGAGGAACCCTGCCTAAACCCTATAAAGGAATCAGGATAGAAACTGAATCACAGAGAGATGAGAACAGGGAATTCAGCCGATCCATCCTCTTAATCAGTGCTGGGTTCATATGCCCAGAATCCCTTAGTCATCTGCCTTAGTACCTATGGGATGACTGGTTTACTGGTCTGGAATTTGAGGACAGAATTAGCCAATTTGAAAGTTAACATATAATTGTAGGGTCAGGGTACCAGTAGGTGACCTTTGACTCTGCTGTTTAGCTGTATTAGCTCTGACCAGTCATAAGTTTCCTGCTTGCAGTATTGTCAGTAAATTATTCTGAGTCCTGAATCTGCATGTTGTGTATGTCACTTGGGTTTCCTACATTGTGAACGCCTCAGAAACCATCTAACCAGTGTCTGGTCTCAAGGCAAGGAAAAGCTTTATAAGCAGAACTGCTTGATGTGGGGCTAGAGCATTCTCCCCCTTTGAGTTCAGAAAGATAACGATGGTCAGGGTGATGATTCTCCCACTTCAATTTCTCTCATGTTTCTCAGGCCAGCCACATTGTGAACCTCCAGAGATTGATTCATGCTCTCAATCCTTGGGGTTCAGTGCATTTCAGAGAGCTGATATTTAGAGGGAAGAACTAGTCTCACAGCTTCCAACCTTTTGTACCTCCTTTGAGTGGGGATGATAATGAATTTTCTTTGACAGCCTGTGTGCAGTGGTTAAAGGTTTGTATTCTGGTCTCAAAGTTTGGTTTCCCAAGAAGCAGACACTGAGTCAAGGATTTGAGTGCAAGCAGTTTTATTTGAAAGCTGGAATCAGAAAAATAAAATAGGACATGAGGAAATGAACCAAGAAAGAGAAGGCAACTAATGGGATACCACTGTGGGCAACTATAGTTCAATTCCAAGTGGAAACTGGGAGACAGAAGGCTCATCTTTGAGATAACTCCTTTGAGGAAGAGGGAGGGAGTGGAGAATTTATACACCAGTTCCTATTTATATACCATTTCCCATTAGTGTGGTCAAGGCTGCCCTGGGCATGTGTATTTCCAAATACTTTCTGCTGGCACTATGCTTAGATAAAGCAAAGAGTCTTATAATATACTGAATACATCATAGAGCTATTGTGGAAATTAGATGTGATAGGGCATATATGTGAACATAGCACAGTGCTTGCCACACAGCAAAGACTGAGAAAAGCTAGCATGAATTTATTTTTTTTAAGATTTATTTTATTTATACAAGAACTGGGGTATAGGCCAGAAGTGCAGGAGGGTGAGAGAATTCACCAGAGACAGAGCAGGGAGCAGAACAGGCAGATGGACCAAAAACACTGCTGAGGGGAGCAGTGGGTGAGGCAGGAGAGGTCTGCTGTGCCATATGGATATCTCTCTGGCCAGCCAGGAATGGATCCCACCCTGCAGAGCTGCAGACATCTTCACAGCACTGTGCTCAACCCGCTGTGCCACCAGGAAGGCCCTAATTTCTTAAGCATTACAAGGCATCTTGTCTCAGCTAGTACTTGTAGTAGGTGCTCCGTATAAACCAGACCAATGGCATAGAGAAGAGGCAATTCATGGGGCTTATAGTATTTCCCTATGAAGCCTAAGACTATTTATTTCCTTACTTAATCACCCTTTCCCAGGATATATGTGTGAGTGAGTGAGTGTGTGTGTGTGTGTGTGTGTGTGTGTGTGTATGATATTAACCTTATATATAAAACCTTAAAATTTTGACTCCTAGGTGAAGTGCCTCAAGGATTTACAGACATAGTTGAACTTTTAGAAACAATCAAAAATTTTGAATTTTTGACCTTACAAAAGTAAAAAGAAAGAAGTGGTACAATTAATTTCATAGTATATCTCTTTGCCTAATCTATAAAATATCATCTCAACATGGAATCAATATAAAATTGCTAATTAGACATTCTCTTTTTCTTTTTAGGGTTTAGTCTTCTAATCTAATATGTAATTTACACTAATTTACTAATTTCACTAATTTTAGTCCAATTACATATCAAGTGCTCAGTAGCCACATGTGGCTCACGGCCACCTTCCTGGATCATAAAGGTCTAGTGGGCCCTAAATTCTTTCCAGAAGTAACTTCCTCAGAAATAATCCCTGTTTTCTTCCTCTTCATCTTCATAAATGACAATGTTCCCTTGCATCTAAGAAAGTGAAGTTGGTTTTAGCTCAGGCATCATATGAAATTGAAAGTTGCTGTAATGAAATTTCACACATGAAAGCCACGGTGAGATCCTTAGCAGGTGTAAAAATCTGACGAAGTTATTTCTTTAACTGCAGCTAGATGGAAACCACAGCAGCTGTTACCATTTGCACGTTTTCCAAATCTCATTGCCAAAACGAATCATTGGCAGCCAGAGAAGTCTCAACTTACCTCTTCATTTGGGAAATGAAATTAAAACCTCAGTTCATTTCTAAAAGTCACGGATTTGGTAAAACTTAGTAGGGCAAACACACACAAGTCGCTGTTAAAATATTGATGGCTTCGGTTTTCTCAGGTGCTGCTGCTAACATCTGCAGAAGATTTGGACTGCACTCCTGGATTTCAGCAGAAAGTGTTCCATATCAACCAGCCAGCTGAATTCATCGAGGACCAGTCGATTCTAAACTGTAAGTGAAGTCACATGATGCTATTTTTGGCCTGTTCTCATATTTGAATTCACAGTGACTAAGAATGTATCTCAGGATGTGGAGCCCCCTAAATTTAGTCAATCATTTTACTATGTCACTGCCTGACCCAAGATATAGTCTTGGGTTTCTCTATCAGAGGTGAATAGAATGGTATGTGTCTATTTTTAGTATCAGGAACATCCTGACTGCTTCTTGTAAAGGGAATCACCCGCCTCCAATTTGTGTACTTCTCTGTGCAATAGAAATGAATCCATTCAGGGCAGATCCCCGAGAGCAAACCATTGCCTTTCTATGGGTTTCTGGTCTTCTTGTTTTTCCTCATTCATATCCTGAGATCGAAAAATGGTGAGAGCATGATGTTGGCTTCTGGGAATTTTTAGACATAGGAATTCAAAACTGCTATACTTAAGGCTAATAAGATGTTCTTCAGAAAGACTCAAAACCTCTACAGGCTATTCTGTGGATTAAACTTTAATCCCCCCAAATTCCAATTGATTTCCTTAAAATATGCTCCCCTTAGATCTATGGTTATAATCTCTTCCTACTTTTATGCCAACATTATATGTTTTATCTTCATGAGAACATGGAGTGCATTGCCAAATGCACAAGCAGATTTCGTACAATTGAACTTAAAAATGATGCTAGACAATTAACCATTTAGCAGTAGGCCCGTGCATGCCATTCTTTAGCATTTGGGAATGAAGTATATGAAAATAGTGGTTTAATTTGGTCAGATGCCCTAGTTGCCCTTAGGGAAGGTAATTGCACATTTGCTCTTATGGTCTCAGGTTTGCCTTGCAGGCATAGCCACGTTCCTTCATCCCTGTGCTAGATAGTTGGCATGTTTAACGAAAAGGAAAAGAAAAACCAACCTACTTGATTGGTTTGCTCTATGAGGCTGGAACACATTTTAAAAGTTGAAAGGAACACAGTAATGAAGATACAACACTGAGCATCTAGGGTGCTACTCAAGGTGAAGCCCATGCACATCTTGATGCAATTACAACAATGAAATCATTTCAATAACTAGAGTCTGTAATGACAAGGTACAGGACTGGCACTATGCACAAATTCCAGCATGTGATTTCATGTTAATTTGATCCCTGAGTGTGACTTCTGGGTCAGGTCATCAGGAATCCTCATTTGTCTTTTGATTCTTCTGTCTATCAGAATTGTTATATTTCAAACAGAACTGGGTTTAAGAAAACTGTTTTTTCAGGCTCTCCTCTAATCTTGTCTCATCTCATCTTGTCTCCTCTCTTCTCCTTTCTCTCTCTCTTCTTTCTAGCGATTATCCCAAATGGCATCTATATTAACATGCGTGGAAATGTGAAGCCACCCTGAGTATGGAAATTAATAGAGTTGGTATGCAAAACAGGCCCATAAATGTGATTGCTTCTGTAATCTTCACGACACCAAACAGCTTTTAATTCACCGCTGAGAAGCTGGAAACAATCATACTTTGGGGGATCTTTTTAATTTAAACTAGACCATACTGTACATTCCAATATCACAGTTTTGTGTGTATGTCTGTGTTTTTTTTTTTTTAAACCCCTTAAGTAATTAAATGGGTTATGGTTGTTGGTTCTGTGTAAGCTAGTAAAGCTAAATGGAACTGGCTGATTATCAATGATAGCACATTCAGGAAAAGTCAGTGACATGGGAATTGAGGACATTTGAAAAATGTTATGTGAATTTGTGTGTGAATTGTTGAATCAGCAGTATCTGACTAGCCCCCTTTCAGGGAAACTGTGTGTGTGTGTGAGTGTGTGTGTGTGTGTGTGTGTAATGCAAAAAGCAGGTTTGATTAAGTACTTTTGAGTTAATCTCAAAGCAATAACCACAGGCTGTTATGAATATAGACCCTATGAATAAGGTTAATTGTGTCTCAATGAAGAAAGTTTTCGCAGACCTGAGAAGTCTACTGAATATCATTTGGGGAAAAGAATCTCTATTTCTAGAAGTAGTAGTCTTAGCAATGGTTCACCCAATTCCACTTGCAAGGCAAGATAAAAAGTTCAAAATATTAAATGGACTTTTCCCTTAACCAAATAATATATATTTTATTTGAATTATATTTATTGAGGTAAAATTGGTTTATATCATTGTGCCTGCTTTGGGAGTTACATGTTTAAACTTATACAAATGTATGTTTTCACACCATGCCTACCACCACACCCCTATAATCCTCCACCATGCTCCACTGTGGCACCTCCCTCTACGCCACCACCCTGCCTCAGTTTTACAGTCAGATGTCAATAACTAAATGATATTTTAAGCCTCTCCCTCCCCCTCTCCAGATCCTTCTCTCTCTCTCATTCTCAGTTTCTTTCAGCTGTTTCGTTATGTCAAGATCCCTTTATCTGTGAAAAATGCCACAATAAGAAACCAATGAGTGGTGGGTGGTCTCACAATGAAAACCATACTGACAGAGGACCAACATCTGAATGAAAAATGAAAACAAATGAAAGTTTTAGAATTCTTAGACATTTGAGGTCAAAAGCCAAGGTTTGAGAAACAAACCTTCTAGATACAAGCTGATGTTCTGGGGATAACAGGTTAAAAGTTTGGAAACATTATCTTGGACTCTGTAGCATTTGCACTTTCCATTTTTCCTTTGTCTTTGCAATACTTAAGTGTTTTGGCCTCCAATCATTGTGATTTTCTGTTTTGCACAAGGTATAAATACAGTATTATCAATCAATTTATGTCTGCACTTTTTGCATTTCTATAAAGTTGTCTGAAAGTGTTGTCTCTGCCTGGCAGACATAGTATATCTGTTCATACTCCATACTTATATTCAACCAATTTTGTGTTCGGCTTTTAGCAGGTTACAGGCAATGTTTATTCTGTCCACGGCTTCTTGCTCTCCTTGTTCAGACAGTAATACTTCCTTTTATCCTTTTTCATCTTTCTCCTCAATTCTCAGTGACTTTTCTTTTTCTACTTTAACTATTACTAATGGTCACCTCCACTCCTTTTATTTCCCTAATATTTTATTCACTGTTCACTGCGATACATCTTTCCCTCAGTTGTTCTAAAGTCTTTTATTTTCTTCACATCCAAATAACTCTTTATTCTACTCTCCTTTCCACTAACCAGACTGGCTTTCGTCTTTAAAAGGCCATTTTTCAACAAGCTTCCAGGATCAAAACATGGCACCCCACTATTTCTTCTAATGTAACCAAGGGAGCTCTTTCACAATATCTTTCAGTATTAGGCGAAGCCCTCCCACTCATGAGAACTGGGGCAAAACTCTCTTGGTTTCATTTCAGTCTTGAAAGGTAGGCTGGGGAGATGGCTTATTCTCATTTTCTATGCAAATCACAAGAAAGGGGGAGACAGATAGAAGGCAGAAACTCAAAAGGAGACCTCCATTTGAGGCCTTTGGACTTAGGGTGAAATCTGTGAGGGGGTTATGGCTCCCAGAATGCTATGGCTCCCAGAATGCTCTCAAATTATTTTGTGTGGTTGTGTCTCCTACAACATGAAAGTCAGGGGATCCTGCTAGCTGATTTCTTGATACATGAGAGGAGAATAGTGATCTTGGCTCCAGCCTTCCAGCCAATATACAGACTCCAGGAGAGTCATTGGCCTGGAATACTGACCACCCATCCAGTAGAAGTGGGAAAAGACCAAGTGATAAACCCCTGACCGAATGAATACATTCCACAAAATTGCAGAACGGAGTATTCTGGCCTGCCCCTCTCAGTTTAGACAGGCCTTCCTGACATTAGAGAGGGATTTGTGATCAAGTTTGCTTAGGGAAATCAGAGTTGTGACTGTCCAGCCTCTATAATGGGGGTGTCTCAACCTCCAGTGTCCAAAAATGACACTTCTTGGCCATCCAGCCAATATCAAGTTAACAATTCTTTCTTCCTTGTTCATCTTTCATGGATCACTCTGTTTGGGCTACACATATACAAATATACTGTCATACCAGTACACAGAAATATTGCCGGATGAATTTACCTCAAATATGACTTGTATAATTACCCTTTTAATAAAGAATCCTCATCTGTCAGAACAGGCTTGGTACCAAACAATCACAGTGACCTAGCAAGTAAAAGTTTCTTACTCGTTCAGATCACCTGATGACCTGGGTTACTCCCCGCCAAGTGGCTGCCCTCCCTGCGGGAACTTGAGGAGCCAGACTATTTCCAACTTGGTTCTGCCATCTTGTCCCTTCTAGTCACGTGTGCCACTGAGATGGCAGTCAGAGGGCAAGAAAGTGTAGGGAAGGCACCCTGGAGGCTTAACCACCTTAGTTCCAAAGGGACATGCATCATCCCTGCTCACATTCTTTTAGCCAGATCAAGACTTATAACCAACCTAACTGCAAGAGAGGCTGAGACATGTAGAGGAACACACACACATGCTCAGTCTCTACACATATCCTAACAGCAATGTGATCCAAGTCAAAAAGAGATTGGTGGGAGAGAAAGAGATAGACCACAAAGGAGGCAGCAGTCTCAGAGTTGCCTGGTCTACCTAGGAGAAAGGACAAAGTTGGCCAGTTCAAGCAGGAGAGCAAGATCACACATTTGTGATTACATCCTGCTTTTCTTCACAGAGAAAGCTTAGCACTGAGAAGAGTTAACTTTTTCTCTGTATCCTCTGAGAAACAGCCAGGGGAGGATCCTCATCTTTTCATGGTTCTAATCCGGATAGACTCCAGGTGAATCTTTCTGATGATTACAATGTGTGGTTGAGGTCACAGAGTTTTAAACTCACATAGACTAGGGTTCAAATACCCACATGGTCATGTGTTAGCTGTGTTACCATGACTGAATTATTTGAATCCTCCATGTTTAAATAATCTTATCTCTCTAAAAATGATATGTCAGTTTCCACTTCTGGATTATTAATGCAATAATTGATGGAAAAATTGATAGAACATAATTATGAGTAAATGGAAGCTGCTAATAACTATTACTATCACTATTGTTGCTGATGTTTTATCATTATTCATAGCTCAT